CCGGCGAACATGACAGGTTCAAAAAATCACTTTCATCTGAAATCTAAAACTAATCAGGCTTCTACATGACAGGTTGTCCCTTGTTTGTCCAGCGATGATATTAGGTATTGTGCTACATTTGGAACTTTCTCATGATTATGGTACTTTCTCATTTTGAACTTTTTTTGAGCTTATGGTTATGCATATCTATAGTTAATTTTTGGTTGTTTAACGTTTTATTTGTTGGTATTTTTTGTTGTTGATTTTAACTCTGCTACTCTTGCTGTCCAGACTTCTATAGTTCCAAAAATCAGTGTTGCCCCCGTTGGTTTTACAGGTTTTGGTAACATTGATGGAACATGTTTCAATGCTTCGTAAACCCCCTCCCCCCAATATTGTATCTGGTTGTCCGGATGGTGTTACTGCCCCTGCTGCCACTTTTTCAGACCCTTGTGATGCTACATCAATTATGGTTGCCCATTTTGATGCTTCATCAATTTTGGTTGCCCCTTGTGATGCTACATCAATTTTGGTTGCCCTTGTTGACTTACTGGTTCCCTCCGATTCTCACACTATTGCCCAGTCCCTACAGATTCCAATGTGCTAAATGAACCCCCGGTGGCTACCTGTAACAAGGCAGTAACCGGAGGAGAAGTTCATCCCCTATTTCTGCTGGCATCTGATTCTAACTATGAGGAAATACAAACTGCTCTCTCAAAAGATACTCCAAATACGGGAGATGATGCAATCATTTCTGATCCCCTAGATGCTTATACTACACTTACCCCCGTTTTGTCCAATGATGAAATTCTTTCTGAGGATTCCAATGATTTTAAATCAGCTGGCTTTGAATAACCGTTAAACTGATAAGGATATTGACTTCTAACTGATAGTTGAATGTAATTTTATAATTCTTCCTATTTGGTCGCGTTTGCTACCTTTGAACAGCAGCCAGCTTTAATGTAATTCTTGCTCCTGTTTTGGCCATAACATATCATTATGTCCCAGGAATGATTTGAAAAAGATCCCTATACCAGTGATGCTTAAACAAGCTAAGGTCATACACTCCTGTGAGTCATACACTATTTAACTCTGCAGAATGACTATGAATGTTATGGACAGAATGGGGGAAGGCCACCTCTTAGTTACCAATTCTTTCTTAAACTGTCGGGATCATGGGAATCAACCCCTCTGTCAACGTTATTAGTGTCCTCGCTTCCTCCGATTGGGAACTTGGGGTACCTTGAAGTTTCAGCTGTACCAACGCTCGAAGTAAGGCCACCATTGCTGGTTTCTGTTCACTCTTTTTTTTGCAGAGTGGTGGGAATTATTAATTTGTGCTTATGGAGCTGCAGGATGAGAGGACACCATTTAGAGGCAGTGAATCGGAAACATTAAGGAGGTTGATAGAGTCAATTGCTGACAAGGTATATCTTGTGAGTTTGGGATACAAATTATCATCTTACTGAAGTCTTGAGAGAGCTAATTTCTCAGTCACTTTCCCTACCAGCCAACAACAAGAACCAGATCTTGTTCATGGGTAGATGTTTGCTTTTTCTCTTTTCTTGTCTGACTTTGTTCTTGGTTTGCCCATCAGATTCTGATCTTCAATTGATTTGGGAGGTTTTTGTGTGGACAAAAGCTTGACCAATTGAGCATACTTCATAGATACAATAGAAGATGCACAAACTCAAGGTTTTCTGAAGAAAGTAAATCAATTTGCTTTGCCTTTTGCTTCAATTCTTCGAGTTTTTTTTGCTTCAAATTTAGTCTAATATAATTCAGGAAAAAATGAATGAACAAGCCTTGAGGTTTGCTACAAGTATATTTCGAGTAAATCAATATTATCTTACTTGCTACACCAAATTTGTTGAACTAATCCTGATTTTGTGATACTTTAGTGTAATATCAATTCCTGATGAGTTTTTTGATATTTTGGTGTCCTGAAAAATATCATCAACAAATGGGATCAAGAGTCGCCATGGAACCTGTTGTCAAAGCTCTCTATCTCCGTGAAGGTAGTCATGGTTTACTAAAAGTCTAAAACCACCTGAATCTGGAAGTGGAACATCCCCTATTGAGTCACCCCAAAAAATCAGATATAAACTCACAAGATGTTAATCACATGACAGGCTGGAAAGCATACCGACAGAAGATAAAAAATGAACAGAGCAACCCTGGTAACCATCACCTCTTTTCCACCCCGGTAACCATCACCTCTTTTCCTAATTAATTTCATTTAAGTTTCATTATTATAATTGGTATTGGGTTTTGATATTCTCAGCTACCATAGGTACTGCTTCCCATAGAAATTAATGGATTATGCATTCACAATGTTGGGGCTCGAATTTATGCTGAGCAGAGTATCACCTTTATCGTCAATGTTGTAAGTCATACCAAAACTTCTATTTTGATCCGAGATTTATATTTATTTAAACAAACCTTACAGATTTTTTATTGAAGAGTTCAAAAGGGGATGGGAATGAAGAGGTAATGTATATGGTATGCACAAATTGTTGCCTTCTTGATGGTTAGATCTTCATCGGGTAATGTTTTTCGCCATCTGCTAAGAATTTGAGGATTCATAGGTGAAAATTTCCCTTTCCTGTCTCATGTTTAGTTTTATATTTGGTTTAATTTCCATACTTGTTTGTTAAATTAACATGAGGATATGTTTGCCATTTTTTGGTGTTACTTTCTGTTAGTACTTGACTTAATTTATTTTTGAATTCTATCATGTTATCATTTTTGAATTAATTAGGGAGAAAGACACCTTATACATGTATAACACACTTCTTTTGTTTCCTACATTTTTTATGATTAACCTTTTTTCTTTCCCAACTTTTTAAATATACTTAACAGATCAAGGAACGGGTCATTTTTTGTTGCATGTTAGGTTTGCTTCTTCGGTGTTTAAAATGAATGAGGCTTTACAAATCTATGGCGATTCCTGAGGGTACTTACCAACCTCTGTATGCCATTGATATCTAAATAAAAAACAACCCATTGTCGATTTATAATACTACAGGAAGTGTTTCAAACCCGTTTATATGACTTTTTTTTATTTGGGATTTAATTCGTTATATGCTATAGTATGCTAATTGTAAATTGTTTTTGAAGATGTGGGTGTGTTGATTTAGCACTATTAATAATCAACACAGATAAATCGTATTTTAAGGTGTTTTTCTTACAATTGCAAGTTGAAGTCTCCCTGGGTGTTCATATATTAATCTTATTTTGTACACGGTTGTATGACCAATAAGAGCAATTGTTGCTGCACTAGGGCAATATTAAAAAGAAATATGTGTCATTCAATGGACCTAGGGCAAATGAAATGGATTCTTCTCTTGATGGTTTGACCACCAAACTTGAAAACTTTATTAGACTTGTGTCGATGTCTGGGCTTCTAAATCTCCTTGGTACTCAAGAAACAATTGCTGCTTCTGATATTGCTATGAAATGATCATAAACCTCCATTGTTTAGATATCTTGGAGGTGTGAGCAAATGTTTGGCCTCAGTCAGGAAAATCTCTTGATAGCTTCTTGTTTAGAATCTTGTTGCTCATGTAAGAACTTCACTTCTCTTGCCTTTTTACCTCTCCATGAGCCCCAAAACAGTTCACCCACTTGATAAATTGAAAAAGTCACGCATTTGGAGGGATCATATAATTTTACTCAAGAGACATATCCAACCATGTATAGCATTACTTTTAGTTTTGGGAACCCTTATCTTATTTTTATTCTGACATGTATATCATTACTTTTAGTTTTGGGAACCCTTATATCTATTTTTATTCTGTTACCTTTATGTCCTCTTTTCTGTAAAAAAAAATCAAAATTATCGTATGGTTGTGATTCAGGAAGGGTGATTCCAGTAAGTATGATCTATTGATATGGTCCGATTCTGCTAGACCTCCTGAGTGGGAAGAATATACGGCCAAGCCATGTACCACACACTACTTATATTTAATATCTTAAATTACTTTAATCTTGTTTCTTAGAACTTTGATTGAATTACTTGAGTCAGTTTGGCAATTACATGAGAGCGTACTACATTATATCATGTTCAGATGTTATTTGCTCATTTTAGTACCTTTGCATCAATTTCCAGTTTTGATTTAAATCATCTTAACTTGAAGTTTACTAGCGCCTAATGAACTTAGTAACTGATGCATTAATATTCTTATTGCTATGTTCATCCTTGGAAGGACAATACAACAATATAGTTACTTCTGCGTTGGCAGAACTTGTTATGAAGTTCCTTCAGTATGAATTCAGAGATCATCCAAATTTCAACCTCATTCTTACTGTCGTGGGACACTGAAACTCCTTTAAAAGAAAAAGGGGGTAGTTATGTCTTCTTTGTGTTTATATATTTTTTAGTTTACACCACATGTTGGTCTGAAAAAAACCCCTTGTCCCTCTTATGGTTACATACATGCTCTCACCTCTCAGGAAGGTGTGTGCAAAGAGCCAATGATGGACCTTACAGCCGTGCTTGATACATTACTTAAGATTACACAACATTTTAGGCAACATGATGTGCCTCTTACAACCCCAAGAGGACAAGCCTCTTACAAAACATGATGTTGCCTTTCTTCACCACAAAGGTAAAGCTCTCAAGCAAAAATGATTTTGTACCCATTTTGTACTCATTTGAAGCTTTAAATATAATTTTGCCACAATTTTGCTGATGCGCTCAAATATTTTAATATTTTATTGTGTATTTCAGTACTGACAATCTGATGATGCCCAACACATGATCGATCACTCCATAGTGATTAATACACTCCATGGTGATGCCCGGTATTTTCCGTATTGTTCCCTATTTTTTATTGTCAAAAGATTTTTTATTGCATTGTGTTAAGTAACACACTAATTTTCCGTGAACGGAGAAATGAGAGAAATAACCTTCTATACTTGATGAGAGAACTTGTTTTATGCGAAAATCATGTACTACACAACTGTTTGTCTTTTATTTTTCTTTTTTCTTTGGATAATTAGTTAATTCATTTTGTGCTGTTTCATTGCCAATGCTAGTAATAATAATAATATAGAGCGGAAAGTAATAGAAAGGTGCAGGGTGCATGTGTTGTTGTTGGGACTGGGAGAGATAGTGATATATACTACGTATGTATCCGGACTTGAAGCGATGAGCACATGGGCATGGGCCCACTGCTCTGCTAGTCGCCAACTCGCAAATGGATACCGCTCTGAGAACAATTGAACAAAACCGGGAGATGGATGATGATCAACCTCTCGCCTATTCCCCTCGGTAATCAACAACCACTTGCTTTCCTGCATCACTCTACTTTCTACTCATTCGCTCCGCTTCTTCCTCTCCATTTCCATTTCACTAATATTATATATATTGCCTCCTTTCTCCTGGATACATGTCACTCGGGTTTAACCATAACCCTTTCTTTGAATTTCTTCTTCCTTGACACAATAGGCACGCTGATGTCTCAACCGCATACATCGTCTTCTGGGATAGGCTCAATTTCGTGTTTATTGTAATGGGTTGTGTCTACTCCAAAGCATGCATTGGGCAGATATGTCCTCCGAGAGAGTTGGATGCTAGAGACCCTGGAAATGTCAAAGTAGCGTCTGAGAACCCTGTCTTTTCACCTGCTTCCTCAGACGCGGAGGATGTGGACATCAGGGAACAGTCAAGTATAGGCAGGGACCACGAAATTGGTATAGCTAGGTCATCTCGCGTCTCTTTACAAATGTTACCCCCCGAAGGGGGCTCCATACTTCAACCTGCTAACTACGAATTAAGGTACTCATATCTGTCTCAAACAGGGTATTATCCCGATTCTCTTGATAAAGCTAATCAAGATAGTTTTTGCATCTCTACTCCTTTTGGGATGACCCTGGATGACCATTTCTTTGGGGTTTTTGATGGACATGGAGAATTTGGAGCTCAATGCTCACAGTTTGTGAGGAAGAAGTTGTGCGAAAATTTGCTTCGGAATAACAAATTTCATCTAGATGCTGTTGGGGCATTCCATGATGCTTTCTTGATCACTAACTCACAATTGCACGATGATGCCCTGGATGATAGCATGAGCGGGACTACGGCAATTGCCGTACTGGTACGTGGAAAAACAATTTATGCTGCCAATTCAGGCGATTCAAGAGCCGTCATAGCTGAGAGAAGGGGAAATGATATTGTGGCAGTGGACCTATCGATTGATCAAACCCCATTTCGTCATGATGAACTTGAAAGGGTTAAGCAATGTGGGGCAAGGGTTCTCACCATGGATCAGATTGAAGGACTGAAGAACCCAGACTTGCAATGTTGGGACACAGAGGAAGGCGATGATGGTGATCCTCCTAGACTTTGGGTACAAAACGGGACATATCCTGGTACTGCTTTTACAAGAAGTATAGGAGATTCTATTGCTGAGACTATTGGTGTTGTGGCAAACCCTGAAGTTACAGTTCTGGAGCTAACCCCAAATCACCCCTTCTTTGTGATTGCCAGTGATGGTGTATTTGAGTTCCTCTCGAGCCAAAACGTTGTGGATATGGTAATTCTTTTTCTTTTTCTCCTAATTTTCATAATGTGATATTCTTTCTATCTACAGATCAACACAAAGGCATGCTTTGAATATTAATGCCTTGCCCTGTTTCCAAGCTTCCACCACTAGTAAGTAGTAACACAAGTGTTAAACAAAAGAGTTAATTCCCTTAATAGAAGTAAAACATTAAAAAAAATTCCAAATAGGAGTTCAATGTTTGATAGGAGCAAAAAGTATATGGCTTGATCAAATTACCCTTTAATGAAATATTAGGTAAATTTATATATATAACTAAAACAGAAAATATAAATTAAAAAGTGTTTCAAACCCTAGATCTACTGTTGCATCCATCAAGGTTGATGCCACCCTCTGCTGCCGTCACTGCCCTTCCACGCCATCGCAGCCGCCGCCCTCCGACATCTCCGGCGCCACCGTCTTTGGACCCCACGTCCGCGCCATCCTCACTGTCGCACTCCACCGTCTTCGACGACGCCCTCCTCTGTCGATCTACTCTGATGACTTCCTCCGTCGATCTCCTCCGGCAATGACCTCCTCCGTTGATCTACTTCGGCGACAAACTTCCCCCGTCGATCTCCTCCGGTGAGGCCGCCTCCGCGCCGTGACGTCTTCTGGCACCACCACTGCTTCATATGGCAGGATCGGTGCCAGCCTCTGGTCTGAAGAGACTAGTACAACAAGTGTCATCTTAGCACTGGAATGCCATCTTAGTGGTATTCATGTTATATTACTATGTTTGTAATAACAAGTTCATATTGAGAAATATGAAAATATTGCCATGTTCATTGATTTAGTGCCATAGAATGGTAATATTTGCCGAAATTCCATTTTCACAATGAAAAACATGGCACTGCAATTTATGTATTTGAGAAAGACTGATATTGCCATCTTTACATGACATTATTTTTCGAATTGACATTTTCCGATTGAAAATGCTCATTAAAAATATATCATTTTTTTCAAAACAAATAAATTAAAGTAAATAAAAAATAGTTCCAAAACTTTCAGATAACCAATTGTTGTAACTTCTCATTTTTGAATCCAAAAAATTTAGATATAAATTAGTAATTTTCATTTTGAATCTCAAAATTAAACAAATATAATAAACAAAATATAGCAAAACAATTAAGAGATGAAGAAAATGGAGGAGCATGAGGACAAGATGAAGGGGAGTAGAAGAGGAGGGGGACCAGGCGGAGGAGAGGAGAGGAGGAGGAGGAGGAGGGGAGGAGGAGAAGAATTAGAAAAAGCTTACTTACCCGGCTACCACGATCATTGTACGCCGGATCACCGATAGCTGGAGTTGGAGAGAAAAAAACAGGGAAAGGGTATTGTAGGAATTGAACTCCTATTTTGGGAATAAACACTCTTATGTTTTACTCCTATCGGGGGCAATTACTTCAAACAAAACTAATGTTGCATTTAGAGGCATGCCTTTTCCATTTACAGTCTTGCATCTTGATGGTTGTTTTTATTTCTTAATTAATCATTAGTTGTTTTCTTCTAAGGACCTAGGATGTGAAAGTGTGAGTTGGAAGGGGTCAAATTAGAGGCTTAAGTTTCCAAAAGAAGAAAAATACAAAACTTTTTGTGACACTTTCTTTTGAAAAAGGAAAAGGAAATGCAATTATAATATTTGAGGTAGGATTCTCTCGCCCTATTCATAAAACCCCATTCTTCTTATCGAAGTCCAAACTTTCCGGACAATAAAGAAGACTACCTGCCACACTTTATTCTTATCCGTGGTCATCTGGAAAGTGTCCATCTTTTAAGAAGTCAACAACTTTCGGGAAATCACTTTTTCTTCTTATCTTTTTACATGTGCTTATTAAACCAACTAAAAACTTAAGTGGTTCCCTAACATGAAAACACACTAGAGTACTGTAATGATTGCATACTGTGTGAAACGTTTTCTGTTTTTGAAATCACTACAACAACAACATCCAAGCCTTATTGCAAAGAGATTTTGGGTTCAACTAACATGAATCAATCCATGATAACTGAGTCAAAAAAAAAAATAAGAAGAATAAAAAAATAAAGTAAGATAAAATGGATAAGAAAAAGATAAATATGAGATAAAATAGGAGTTTTTTTTATGAATATTACTATATGGAGTTTTAATGACAAAAAGGTGACTTTGAGACCAATTTTCCCAAAATGTGACTTCCGTACGGTAAGTGTGTTTTTAGAAAGGAAAAAATTGAGAGTTTTATAACTGTTTGCATGGTAAAAAACGGGAGAAATAAACGGATTATATAGTTGATCCGTAACTGAAAAACTGAAATGAGGGGAATATGAGTTATGCTAAATCTCCATTTTCATAAGCTTCGTTTTAACGCAAACGTTGAGATGAAGACTTTATGTTCGAAGACATTGGAGACGATCGCGACTTGGAAGGAGATAAACGAACGTAGTGACTGATACATAGTGGGTCGGGATCCTATAAATGGGGTGTAAGGGTGTTCGCAGTGACTGACAAGCAGTTTCACATAGTAATAAATTCATAGTCAACACAGCTAGAATAAGATGGATTTTATAATAGTGACTGGGTTATACTCGTACATGGTGGTATTTGTGTACTTTCAGTGACTACTGTGTATTGTAGTAAAAAATAGGTTAAAGTTATGCACTCATTGTTGCAGATAAGATGAGCTAATATTAGGGGGTAATTAGGGACTAATGGTGCTACGTAGTTCGGAGAATGGGTGGTGTATGTGTCCTTCCAGTGACTATGTTAGTGGTGTCTAGTAGTACGAAGTAATATATAGGTGTGTTATATGATTGCGTTCATTGACTTCTATGGATATGAAGGGACCATGTATGTAACTCAAATGCTAGAAGAAGATGATTTAGTTTTTCAGTGGATTTGAAGTTGTTTGGCTGTTAAAGGAATGGTGTGAAAATAGTTTCGTATGCCGTTAGTGAGAAAAAGGAAAAAAACGGAAACTCAGTGAGAGAAAAGCATTATAATTAATTAACCGTGCTTAAATAATGAAATGGTGTCAGTTTTTTGGAAAAGGTAAGAAAGGTAATATTTTTGGAATTGAAAAGTGTAATAGTAATATAGAGGCCATTTTTTCTATAAAATAACATAAGAAGATAAGAAAGATAAAAGATAAAAGAGCATAAAAAGATAAAAGATAAAAATAACATAAGAACATAGAAAGATAAAGAAGATGAAAGATAAAAGAAAACGAAAGAGAAAAGAGATCAATCGTTCACACGAATATGTGCCCTCCACTTTGCTTCTGCAAAGTCATACTCTCATCCAACCCAAGAAGAAACATATCAGTTCTGATTCCTCTAATCCAAGTATGTTTGTGTCTTCCTCTCCCTCTCCTCCCCACCTCTTCTCCCCACCTCTCAAGTCGTCTAACAGGTGCATCACTCAGCGTTCTGTGCACTTATCCAAACCACCGCAATCGAGAATCCGACATCTTACCTTATATAGATGATACTCCAACCTTTTGTCTGATTATCTCATTCCTCAAACGGTCTTTTCTGGTATGTCCACACATCCAACACAGCATATGCATCTCTGTCACACTTATTTTTTGAATGTGACATTATTTCACCACCCAACACCCTACACCTTGCTCTGATTTTATAGGATATATCTCCATCTAATTCACCATTCTTTTGAATTATGGAGCCCAAGAAACAGAACATACCACACATCGGTATCTCCTTGCTATCAAGGGTAATCCGCTGTTACTAATACTTCTACCTCCACCAAACTTGCACTCCATATACCCAGTCTTGCTTCGGCTCAGCCTGAAACCCGTGGTCTCCATTGTTTGTCGCCATACTTCCAACTTTGCTCTAACACAATTTCGTCTCATCAATCAAATGAATCAATACAATATCGTTGACAAAACATCATGCACCACAATATATCATCCATGACTCTAGCAAACAAGAAAGGACTTGGAGTCGATCCTTAGTGCACTCCGATAGTAATAGGGAACTCCGCAGTCCTCCCTGCACTAGTACGAACACTTGTAGTACAAGTCTCATACATATCCATGATGATACTGACATACTTGCGTGATATTCCTTTTCTACTTGAGGCCCAACAAAGGACTTTTCGAGGTATCCTATCATATGCCTTTTCTAAGTTAATGAACACCAAACACAAGTCCTTTTTAGTGTCTCTATCCTTTTTCACAACTTGTCTAAGAAGGTGAATGACCTCAGATGTTGATCGTCCAAGCTTAAAACCAAATTGATTCTCCGAAATTTTCACATTTTTTCAGAGTTTTTGCTCATCTACTCGCTCTCAAAGTTTCTTGGTGTGACTCATAAGCTTAATCTCTCAATAGTTGGCACATTCTTGTACATCACCCTTACTTTTAAATAGGGGAATGACAATACTCTTCCGCCAACTCGCAGACATTATGTTGTTTCTCCAAATCATGTTAAAGAAACGTGTTAGCCACTCAAAATCTTTCTTTCCCAAACTTCTCCAGGCATCGATCAGTATTTCATATGGACCCGTGGCTTTCGTCCGCCCCATCTTTCTCAGAGCCTCTTTAACTTCCTATGTTTGGATCCTTCTCACAAAGTCCCGATTTACCATACAATGTGGTATAGTAAGATCATCAATACCTTGCACTTTATTCCTGTTGAAGAAGATATTAATATGACCTCCATCTCTCTTTTATTTCCTTGTCCTCCATTAGTACCCTTCGATTGACATCCTTCACACACTTAACTTTTCCAATATCTGGAGTTCTACCATCACGAAGGCGAGCAAGTCCGTAAATATATTTTTCTCCTTCCTTAGAGTCAAAATTTACATATAATTCCTTGTTCACTTTCCCTCTTGCTTCCTTTACAGCTTTCTTTGCTTTGCTTTTAGCCTCTTTATACTCTATATTCTCATCGTTCCAACTTTTTCCCAACTTTTTTTTACCATTCCCTTTTCGTCCTTATTGCTTGTTTCACCTCATCATTCCACCAAGATGTGTCCTTGTTTGGTGGCAGACATCCTTTAGATTCTCTGAGTGTCTCCTTTGCCACATGGTTAATGGTCGACTCCATTGATAACCGCACATCATCCACATGTGCGTCATTTTCAATACACCTTACATCTTCCTCCAACATTATGTATGCAAAACTTTGTTGGAGATCCACTCGAGCCTTCACCACTTTATCTTTGGCTCCACATGTATCTTAACCCGTCTTCTCTTCTTGCCTTGAAAATCAAGCACAAACATCCTATCATGTGAGTGATGGCACTCTCACCTTACCTGAGATAACCTGACGATCAGTGTAGCTAGTTCTCTAAGTCATTTGCACAAAACCATGGCAATTACAGAACCATGGCAATACTGTAGAGTGTAGACTTCGACTGAACATGGAAAAATTGATATTTTGATGGGGTAGACTTTTTTGCTTTTTTGTTTTGTTTACATAGTGCTGTGAGAGGACGTGATAAAAAAATAGATAACACTAGAAATATAATAGGTAATGAGGAAGAAGGAAATTGATAAAATTGATAACACTGGAAATATATAAGGTGATGAGAAAGGGATTATCGTGAGAAGTGATTTTCTGGTTACATTACAATTTGGGATATTTCCATACTATATATAGTACAAGTGAAGGGACAAGCAAGCATGCATGGTACATGCATGTCATGTATCTTACGTAAGTATGCTAACCAAAATAAAGACATTACACATGAAGGTGAAGAATATTGGGAATATTTTAATACTCCCTCTCAAGGAGGAGTGTGAGAACGATCTGTACCAATGTTTTTGGTAAATATATTTGCTACTTGATTGGCGGTTGAGATGAATAAAGGTTGGATCTCATTACTGGAAACTCTCTCGCGTGCAAAATAACAATTCATTTCTACATGTTTTGTACATTCATGGAATAATGGATTAAGTGCAATGTCGTGAGTTGCCTGGTTGTCACAGCAAAGAGGCGTGGGACCCTTGTGAGTAGTCGTGAAATCCTGAAGCAACCAACCTAACCTTTATATTTCACTCACTCTGACAACCATTGCATGATATTCTGCTTTAGCAGAACAAGAAATAATAAATTGTCTCTTTGTGCGTCAAGAAGACATGAGAGCGACGAGTGAAGGAACATTCGGCCCACTCCGCATCACAATATCCTTTCAATGTGAGATTGTAACCGTGAAATCCTGAAGCTACCAATGTAGCCTTAATATTTCACTCGCTCTGACAGCCATTGCATGATATTCTGCTTTAGCAGATGAACATGAAATAATAAATTGTTTCTTTGTGTGTCAAGAAGACATGAGAGCGACGAGTGAAGGAACGTCTGGCCCACCCTGCACCACAATATCCTTTCAATGTGAGATTGTAATCAGGTGATAAGAAAAATTCCTTGACAAGGTGCGTGTTATAAGTAGCGTATGATACTTATGGCGCCATCAAGATGAGCTTATTGGGGACTGTCGAGAAATTAACTGAGTTGACTAACATCATAAACAATAAATAGATGGGTGACCGCCAGATATAGTAAACGCCCAATTAGGCGTCGATAAGAAGCATCCACTAGAGAGCTGTTGTTGTCCGGTCTAAGTTTTAGGTTTTGCTCCACGAGAAATGTGTTGGGGCGCCCCGTTTGAATATCACTTTCCTCCAAAATGTGAAGAGTATACTTCCTTCAACTTAAAAGAAAACCGTCGAGAGAATGCACTTCTTCAATTCCAAGGAAGTATTTTAATTTACCGAAGTCTTTGATACTAAATTTGGTATCTAGACAACTTCTTAGAGTCCTCATTTCTAATTAGAAGAACATCATCAACATAAAAAAGTGAAAAGTATTGATGGGGCCTGGTCGAAAAATAAATAGAGTGATGGGTGATCAGCCCGGGACCAGTGGAAGCCTATTACACAAATTTATGATACCAGTTGCGTGAGGCTTGATGTAGTCCATAAAGGGATTTTTGTAATTTGCAAACTCGAGTGTCACCATTTTTAATGAACCCTTGGGGAATACACATGTAAACATTCTTGTAACCAGTTTTAGCAACTAAACCTCTTGAGAGTACGGTAGTTGCATCTAAATGTGCAAATGCCGTAGCAGGAGCAGGATCGAGGTTATGGAACCCTCTTTGGTGGAAGTAATCCCTAGTTGTAGCTATAAATATAGCTATTTTGTAATGTTTTCATCATCAATAAATAGAATGAGAGTTATATTTCATGCATCTGATGCATGTCCCAAACATTGATGCCATAAATATGAAGTAATAGAGACCTACATTGTCACACTTTTTGGAAGCTCAATGTAATAAAGATCATTACAGAATGTACCCATCAAATTTCTTGAGGGTAAGTCTTGTAGAATACAAAAAAAATCTGGAAAAATGTGAGTGTACAATTAAAATCGCTTATTAAGTGACTGAATGAAATTAGTTTGCACTGGAATTTGGGGGATGTTTAAAACTTGTTGGAGACAGAGTTCATTGGATAAATGTAAGCAGGAGAGATCGGAACTAATTTACCATTAGAAATCCAAACATGTGGTATAGAATTGTGAGATATGATGTCAACGAGACCCTTATTGCTATAAACAATATACTCACTTGCTCTGGAATCAATAATCCATAGACGATTTTGTTGCAATATATCTGTCATATTTGTATGGTTCTGTATCCAGAATTTCGATCTCATATTATGATAAAGTTGATAATACGAAATATAAAAGGTAATGAGAAGAAGGAAATTAATAACACTAAACACATAAAATGTAACAAGAAGGGATTCTCGTGAGAAGAGTTGTTCTGGTTACATTACATTTTGGGACATTTCCATGCTATATTGCTATATATATTAATTGTTTCAGTACCCATCCATATTGTAGTTCTAAATTTACCTATAAAATAGGTTCTAAAAGCTATGCAACTTCAAAATGAATGAGTTTTTGTCTCTCTAATCTCCAATTTATCAATTAATTCTTTATAGCGCAATGTTTTTTTTTGATAAATAAGCTAAAAGTCGTTGTTTCCCCAAAATTTTACGTACACCTCTTTGAGATAAGTAGTCTTTTTTGTGCAATTTCAAGTGGGAAGTAAGCCGGTGTATTCTATTGGTGAAATTCCATATTTGAAATTCAACGGAACCTCTGTTTTGTTGGTTTTGGGTTTTTATAAATAGTCGAAAGAGATAAGTTTTTTACATTAACCTAATGAACTCCCTTCATTGATATATAATATGCATTTAAAATATTTTTTTATAATTAAGTTATAGATTCATTTCATAGATATGAAATAATTGATTAGTAACTATATAGTACAAGTGAATGGACAAGCAAGCATGCATAGTACGCCATCAAGCGTATCGAAAATATTTTAACAGGACAAGTGTTAGTTTTTTCCCTATTCTCATTTATGGTCTGAAGATTTACTTTCCTTCTTTTCTGAATGAAATGTCAGGTTTCGAAGTATAAGGATCCCCAGGATGCTTGTGCAGCCATAGTTGCTGAATCATATCACCTGTGGTTACAGTATGAAACTCGTACTGATGACATTACTGTGATAGTTGTCCATATTATTGGATTAAATGATGTAAGTTGGCTCCTACTTTTGAATTTTTTATGTCCATTTGTATTAGTTTCTTTGACTTAAAATACTGACTCAGTTCTGTTTCAGGCTGCAGGTGTTCAATCCAAAAGTTATGAAGCAGCTGTAAGATTCCCTTTACTTCAGGATGCAGATACATCAGGTTCAGAATCTCCAACTGTCATGAGCTGGAAATCAAAGAATCAACGAGAAAGACAAGATATATCACATGCACGGCTTCATGCTCTTGAAAATTCCCTCGAGAATCGGCTGATTTGGATGCCTCCTTCTCCACGTCACAGGAAGACCTGGGAAGAAGAAGTAAATTACTCTTTTAAAAAGCATTGCTCTTGACTCTCTTTTTTCACTCCCCAGAATGCCTGCTACTTCTTTGATAACATGAACATACTCTTGAGTGCTTCAGCAGTCTTTACTTTGTAATATCTATATGACAGGCACAAATTGGGCAGGTCTTGCACGATCACTTTCTTTTTAGAAAACTGACAGATTCTCAGCATCATGTTTTACTGGATTGTATGAAAAGAGTGGAAGTTCAAGCAGGAGACATTGTAGTGAATAAGGTAAAGTGTCTGTAAATGCTCTTTGTCATATTGGGATCGTTTTGCTGATAAGATCTAATGATCTTGACATCTTGTGTTTGATATCTATAAATATGATAAGATCTAATGATCTTGACATCTTGTGTTTGATATCTATAAATAAGGGCAGTCCAATGCATGTTGGCGTCCCCGCAAGGCGAGGGTTCGAGAAAGGGTCTCACTCTCACCACAAGGATTAATTGGGAGCAAGCCTTCCCTCGTCAATTTGACAAGAGGCCGCCCCCAAAACTTGAACCCATGAGCTCTCGCCCGTTTGGTCACACAGTAATACCGTGACTGGTGCGCCAAGGCTCCCCTTCGGTTTTTATATTTAAGATAAGAATAAAAAAACTTCATACCTAAAACTTCCTCTACCCACTATTGCTCTCGTAAATATAATACTACCTGATGTTGTACACCAAGCGATCTTTGCATTTACTAAATAAACCAATTGGTGGTCATACGTGAAAATCTTCTTTGAGAAAAAAGAAATAGGGCTGCATACATTCTCTGCCTATACCCTGTTTGAAGGGGGTGCCACAGAATATTAAACCAAAGTTTTTCTTCTTCTTTTGATAGGATATCATTGTCAGCATGACTGATTAAATGGTATGCATAGAGTTACTCTATATAGCAGTGTATCTGAAAATTGAATGAGATACAGATGGATTAATTATATTGGGTTTGAAACCACTCAAGTTACATGGAAATACAAATATCCATAATCACGGAATGTATGACATGGTGGTGGAAATGCAGCAGTCATCTGTATCATATGTTAAGATCATTATTAACTGTCCCTGTGGATCAAGCAATGCTTTCGCTGTCATGATTCTCTCATGCTACATACAAACTGTTTTGATTATCGCAGAATTATAGTCACATTTATGTTTAGACTTTAGACTATATTTCCCTCATCATAATATAGGGGTATGTTGCATGATATTCTCTTTAAAGAGCTCTAGCAACTGTTTAAATAAATTTCTTTACTTGCAGGGTGTTGAATGTGATTCGTTTTATGTAGTTGGAAGTGGAGAATTTGAGGTCCTGGAAACAGAGGTGATTACTCATTTTTTCGCCCTTGTGGTTTCATTAACATTGTTCCATTTGCAAAGGAATCCGAGGTCATAAATAAACACATCGTTACATTTGCAAAGGAATCTGAGGTCATAAATAGCTTGTAGTCTTGGCCTCTTGGGTCAACTTTTCTGTAATCCGGTGATATAAATTTTAGGTGGAAAACCCCGGAGGAACACAAAGGGTTCCACAGGTATACACCGCTGAGAAGCTATCATCCTTCGGAGAGCTGGCCCTGATGTAAGAGTTCTGTTAATGCTTTTCATTTGTTTACTTTCTCCTTTATTTAACGAGACATATTGCAAAATGGCTTGACTTCTGATCTTAATTTACCCCTAAAAGCTAAGATCCCATTTGGTTGTAGTTAAACTGAAATGGCAGAATTTGTTGAATTTTTTGAAAAGAAAAGTGTTTGGTAAAATTCGTTTCAGCCCAATATGTAATTCAATAACTGCTTAATTCATTTATTCTGAATAAGTACCTTTTTTCCCATGTTTAAGAAACCAGACCAGACCGGGCGAGTCGGCCCCGAAATTGGCGAACCGGTACCTTACCCGGTCCGGTTACCCATTGACTTGTAAATATATCAAAAACTGGAAAAAACGACAGCCCGTTCGGACCCAAGCACAATCCAGAAGAATCCGGAAGTCAGGCAATTTAAAATTCTGTCTTGGCTGGGAATCAAACCCTTGCGTACCGAGATAAATTTCAAGAGGCATTCCAAATCACCACTGAAACTGGTTGTCATGGGGAGTCACTTAACTGTAATTATACCTTTCATATCCGTTTATGTATATAACGTTCAAATATAAGTTAAAATGCTTAGAAAATACCTTTGAGATTTTATAATAAGTGCTGTTTTTCAAAAAAAAAAATGAAAAAAGTATGCGATGTATTTAAATATTTACTGTGGAGAGAAAATCGTATGTATATATGTACATAATAAATATCAAATAATATTATTGATTTAAATAGGCCTAAAACTATATTTTAGATATGATGAATCATGAATGTGTGAATATATTTGAATATTAAATATTAAAAAATGCTTAAGTATTCTTATTCAACACTATTGAAATATTCAAAATATTTTAAAATTAAAACAAATACTCCCTCCGTCCCCTTTTAAATGTCCCGGAAGAGGGTGACACGAGTTTTAAGAAAAGTCGGTTTGTGTGGTTGATATTAATTTATAAAGTAAGAATAAATTAAGAATGATTTTGAGCCACACAAACTTTACCAAATAAGGTTTGAGACAATTAAATAGGGACATCCCAATATGGTAAAACGGGACATTTTAAAGGGGACGGAGGGAGTATCAAATAACATTTTTGAATATATAAAAAATCCTTACTATATATTATTTATTTATCATAGTGAAGCATAAATATTTTTAACTTTTTTAATATATTAATATATGTTTATTACTCTCTTCAAAAAAATTGTTTATTACTATAAATTAAAATTTTATATAAAAGTTGATCGGGTTGACCTGTGACCCGATCCGGGTCACTTCCTGGTCCAGTTTTTACAACATAGTTTTTTTCCACTAAATGGGTTATAATCCTTGAAAATAGTACTTCCACCGTCCCACTAAGAGTCTAAGATTGTCCCATACCAAATTTGGTAAAATTTGTGTGGTTCTAAATCATTCTTACTTTATCAATTTAATATCAACCGCATAACCCCACTTTTCTTAATAACCACACCACCACCACCACCTTAGTGGGACGGAGGTAGTATGAAATAATGGGAATATTTAGTCTGTCAAGTTTTCTTGTCAAAGTGTTGCTTTGTTACTACGAATTTTTACTGGAGTAATAAATGATGCAACTTTGTTGTGAACAGAAAAAAATAAAATCAACGGGGTAAACCGTTGCCCGATAATCAACGGTAAAAATACCGTTGCCCAGAGCCAAAAGGCTAAAACCAATTTTACTCCAAGATCAGCCAGAATGAATCCTAACAAGGGGTTTAAATACCCATCTACTAATAATTAAACTAGGAAACAAAATCCTAGAAATCCTAATCAACTCTAACTAGGAAACAAAATTATAAAGATCACAATCAACTCTAACTAGGAAACAGAATAATAAAGATCCTAATCAACTCCAAATAGGAAAGAAATAATAGAAATCCTAATTAACTCCAAAAGGAAACAAATCAGGAAAAATAAAAGAATAAATATTAATTAAACAACCCGCAACCAACCCACGAAGGTGGGCTTAAGCCTGTCCCGCCCCATGCTCTTCCCGCTCCATATCAATCCATCCCCCTTCAAATTAACCTTGTCCTCAAGGTTGAAAACTCGCGGATCGGGAAATGAAATTTCCAGACATAGAATAGACTGGAAAATATCCTTCTTCTCTTTCCTGAACCCTTTCTGGCCGGTTATTTCGCAGAATTCGTGTTGCTTGAGGTCTAACTCTTCATCCTCCTCAGCTATCATTACCCGCAGCCCCTTAAAGGGGCAATCATGCCCCGGCGTAAATGGTTTCTTGCACCTAAAGCATAATTCTTTCGCCCTCAATTCTGCAAACTCTTTCGGCGGAAGTCAAGTGAACTGAGAGTGTGTCGTAGGCTGCCCGGACAGCCCTGATTTCGTCCCCGGAGGCTGTCCACTATCTTTCGCCAAGTTGCCTTCCGAACCCTGTAAGCTGCCACCAATGGCAGTCAACGGGGAACTTGTGTTTGCCATTAAAAGGTTGCTAGAACGTACCCCTGAAGAATGATAATTCAGGTTGCCACCTTCTCCACTTTGGACGGACAGATTATGATCCACTTCGCGAGCTAATTCCATAGCCATCTCCAGGTTGTTCGGCCGAAGTAATCGCAGCGAGCTTCGGATTGTTTCCTAAAGCCCACTCATGTAATAGCCCAAGTAATAATCCTCGGACAGCCTAGGAACCTGACTGGCCAACTGCACAAAAAGGTTATTATATTCTTTTATGGTCACCAACTGTTTGGCCCCGGACAGCCGTTCAAATCGGTTGCCCTTGAACCGCGAATCAAAACGGGCCACCAGTGCATCTGTGAATTCCTCCCAAGACAGGCCCGGTTTTCGTGCCTTCAGCCAGGTCAACCAGTACAGGGCAGCCCCTTCCATGGCTACCATATCTACTGCCACTTTCCTCTCATGTAGGGTTTGATTAATTTTGAACTGTTGTTCAGCCCTAGCCATCCACCCGATTGGGTCTGTTCCGTCAAACGCAAGTAACAAGGTTGGAGCAGGGTTGCGCAGCACTCCCTCCACGTTCGGCGATATCAAGGCAGATCTGACTCCTGCCGCGGCGGTGTCCGGCGATTTCGGCGGCACCAGGGACTGAGTCAGCGCGGCCAGAGAGGCGGCGATCTCCGCCAGCTTTGCACTGTGGTCTTCGAGCGTCTGGTTCATCCGGTTCTGCTCGAGTGCCATCCGGGTTTGCTCAGCCCCCAGTCGGGCCACTTCCTCTCCCATTCAGTTCTGCTCGTTTTCCATCCCTGTCAAGCGTTCATTCTGAGTTCTGGTCATCTTGGCGGGACGGGATCCGGCAGGTCGGACCAATTGATAAGAACAGAAAAATATAAAATCAACGGGGTAAACCGTTGCCCGATAATCAACGGTAAAAATACCGTTGCCCAGAGCCAAAAGGCTAAAACCAATTTTATTCCAAGATCAGCCAGACTGAATCCTAACAAGGGGTTTAAATACCCATCTACTAATAATTAAACTATGAAACAAAATTCTAGAAATCCTAATCAACTCTAACTAGGAAACAGAATAATAAAGATCATAATCAACTTTAACTAGGAAACAGAAAAATAAAGATCCTAATCAACTCCAAATAGGAAAGAAATAATAGAAATCCTAATTAACTACAAAAGGAAACAAATCAGAAAAAATAAAAAGAATAAATATTAATTAAACAACCCGCAACCAGCCCACGAAGGTGGGCTTAAGCCTGTCCCGCCCCATGCTCTTCCCGCTCCATATCAAACTTACATTGATATGAGATCTACTGTGCATTGGTGAGAATGGGATTAGGTTCCCCAAGACTTCATCTGCCAAAGTCATTTTTGAATGATTAATATTCATTTTTGTTAACTACCTTTTGTTTTGGTTAAATTCGACCACAGGTACAACACACCTGCACAGGCCTCTGTTCGTGCGTTAACAACTGGAACACTCTGGGAACTCACAAGAGGAGATTTTAGAGGAATCCTTACATCAGAAATTTCTTATCTGTCATCATTGAAACTGCTTCATTCAGTAGATCTTCTATCAAGACTGACAATTTTACAGCTAAACCATATAGCAGATTCTCTTTCAGAAATTAGTTTCTCTGATGGGCAAACTATAGCAAATAAGGTATTCATTACTTTTATCTTCTGGATGCATAAGCTATTTCATTTAATTCTCTTCAATCTGTTTCACATATTGTAGGATGAAGATCTCCTTGGTCTGTACATCATCCAAAAAGGGGAAGTCGAAGTGACATTTGACATGGATACAGTGAAAATAAAAAACATATCAAGTCTCATATGCGACAACAAGAAGCATGATTTGGTGCCAAACAACAAGGGTGTCTCACTGCAAAAGGCTGAAGGAAGCTATTTTGGGGAGTGGACACTTCATGGCGAAAATGTTGGCTGCTTAAGTGTCATTGCTGTGGGCAATGTAGTTTGCTCGGTCCTAACAAAGGAAAAGTTTGAGAGAGTCATGGGACCTGTGACAACTTTCACCGGGTGACGAAAAATTGCAATTCATTCATGTGCCCTTTGATGCGATTCTCACTGGATGATCTCAAGTATGTTAGTATCTTCCGTGAACTTGTGAAGTAATCAACATAAGCAACAAATTAGTATCTTCGGTCCTTGGCAGTAATGAGAACTTGAGAAGCTCACCACCCTCTTCTTTATGTGGGCCCACAACTACTCTTCAAATATCTCTGAAGAACCAATCAAAAGGTGTGGCACTTCGATTCATGCAAATTTGCAACTCATTGATTTCGTAGCGTTGCATATTTTTCAGTTAAGAGTTCCAAAAACCTGTGTGGGTGGTTCGGCCATGACTGCACTTGCCAATTATTTTATAGTAAGGCATGCCCTTTATTCCAGAGGGTTTGAGGCCTAGCTGTGTGGCCTTCCATATACTTTCCTTGAGGGTTGGAATCATCTTAAAGTGCTGCACGGCCTGCACCCCTATCCTTGATATGTAGATGGTCTTACCCAATGACCTAATAATTATATAAACAGGAGATTTTAGTGGCAATCCGATGTAACACAGGATTCTCTGCATTTCAGAACTTACAGAAAGTTGGAACAGCTTTCTTTTCCTTCTCATTTCTACAGATAAGATGCTTAGCCTGGATAGATTTTCAAAGCTATGACTTTTTGATAACAGAACAAGTTTGAAAAGAATTGGTGTTATTGATGCGCCTATGGTCTACCTCAACACCTTGTTAAGGTTGCATAACGTACTTCTGTAAGTCCGCTCCTGTTATGTCAAGATGGTTTCTACGCTTAACATACTTTCCTAATCAAGTTCGGTATAGGATTTTAATGTAGATGTGTATTAACCTAGGTGCTAATGTTGGAAGATTGGACTGTAGACACAAATGTGAATCAGGCCATACAAAACTATAAATACTACCTGTAACTCAGAAAGTCAAATTTCAGCAAGTTACAACTTTTTTAATTTTGTAAGATACAATCATGCAACTTTTGGTTATTTATCATAAGTTTCATTGTTTTTTTGGAAATCATAACTACATTAATGGAAAACTAAATTCTTTTGCTGGAATAAGACAAAATGATTTTCGAACATGCTTTTTTGTAGACAATTGAAGTAACAGTATACAAGTCAACAAATGCAGTTATATTGAGCAGTGGAGGGGCGGAGTTATTTTCTGCTCTCATCAGTTTAACTGTATAGAAGTAGAGGGCTACGTTAAAGCTTCTCATCCTCTACAACAACAACAACAACAACAACAACAACAACAACAACATCCAAGCCTTAATCCCAAAAGAAAAAAAGAGAGAGAAGGGGAGTACATCTGCATAGAACTGGAGGATGGAGTCAGGACTTCGAAAAGAATAAAATGATAAATAACTCATATAGTCATATGCCACTTCTAATAAGCAGGGGGAGGTGTTCAGGACGGGAGTGAGGGTGGAGGATGTAAGAGTAGAGTAGCCGCATCACATGGTGGCTGATTACATATAGTGCTGCATTTATTTCTTTGTTACCTGTTGTTTCTATCCTGCAATCTATTATGACCTATGTTTAGATGTTTCCATAGCCTAAATTTGTTTGTGTAATTGCTGTAGGCGGGCTGTGAGGACAGGATCTACTTCATGCTACATGGTGAAATGAGGCGTGTGAACTTAGTTTTGCTCAAATTGCATAAGTTAGTTAACACACCTAAATGCTTTTAGCTGTGAAGTTGTTGATCTCATTTCCAAGGTCCAAGTATTATAATTTTGTGTTTACAATTATTAATCAATTTTGTAACGGATTTGAACTAAAAATGTGTTGCAGTTATTTGAAGTGAATGAGAACTTGAGACTTGGAATTCAAGGTATTGACTCTCAAAACTTAACTGAAATCTCATCTCACTTCTCGTATCGTAGTTGTGTGTCACGCACGCCTTTTGATTCACTGCTTTCATATCAGTTAGCATCGACTTTTGATAATATTAATTTATTTGCATAGGTCTACCAATCAGGATTTGATCATATTAATTCATTAACAGGTGTCAACCAATCAGGACGAGTGACACAAATGAGACAAGAAAATTAAGACAAGATTGAATTCCTCAAAATCCACCTGTAGTTTGATGGTTTTTATTGGAATGGGTATACTCCCAATTCAACATCCCTAGGATTGCTACAGATTTACATATCATGACTCCGAAGATTCATACTCCCCATAGCTTGAAGAATTACAACGGTGTTGTGCCCTTTTTCCATCCATATGTTGGAAATTGCTCCACCAGCATTATATAAAACACTACTTACATGTAGTTAGTTTCCTCAAGTAATTACTAGATATAATAAGCACAAATAATAAAATGAGTATCAGCAAATATACCTAAAACAACTATTATTAAAAGATCCCACAATTACATCCCGTCCAATTTTTCTATGTGCTTTCATTTCCATTATCATTTCTTTGCGGGACCCTAACACATCCTAAAGGACATTTGAAAACACTTGCATGTCTGGTCTGGTATGCACTGGTCTGGTCTGGTTTTTTTTGTATTTTTATAACTATCCAAGTCTGGTCTCGGTCAGATTACAGTCTAAGTAAAAACATCCTTAGTACGGACATGGTTGCCGTTCTTAACAAGAGTTGGCCGAACTAGAATCAATCTGGAACTAGAGTCAAAACCAGTCAAGTAAAAACCGGGCATGGACCGAATGGTTAGATAAAAAATGTATGCTAAAATATTGAGTTGGAGACTAGGAATTCGGTATTAACTTCAGAAAAATTGAGAGTAAAGGAACATGTAGTCTTTTTCTTTCTTACCATGACAATATCTAAATGAGATGTATAACTTCTTGAATGAACTCACAATTGATAAGTTTATCAACTTCTTTCTCAATGAGGGGAATCAAATCGGAAGCGCCTTTGAGCTCTCTTCATTGGTTGGCACCATTTCTTTATTGCTAAGCAATAAACAACCACTTTTTTTATTCAAACCAAGCATTTTCTTGTTTGAGCATCCAAGAATATTTATGTATTCTCAAAGGCTTCAAAGCAAGCCCACATATTCTTCTTTTTCTACACTCGGAAGAAGGGTACTTATATAAATGGGGTGAAAATTTTACTCCAGCCCACCCCAACCTTTTTTTTAAATTATAGGTATATGTTCATAACAAAATTGGTGTTTAGCCCAACCCAAAAATCAAAAGCCCATTAAGTGAATTAATTTAAAATGTAATTCATAATTTTTAGTCCTTGTAAATTTTTAATACACCTGATGAAACAAAGCCCAAAACTAATTGAAACAAAGCCCATTACACGGGAGCAACTCGTGATAGGAACCCACAACTAGGTCGGTCTAAATAGCATGCATCGAGCCTGAGCGGGATTCTAGTGAGGTCGGCCTCATCTTAGGGCTTATGTGACAGACTATAATTTGGGCATAGCTATTTGATAGTGGCAGATTAACGGAAGAAATGTAGACCCAAAGGAACAATGATTGCACCATACTCGAGACGTTACAAGACTCCTATTTATGATTGAATGCATTAAATGTATCAGTTTCCTCCTAGATTGCTAGAACTTAAGGTCTATAAATATTAAATACTTCGTGTACACACCCTAAAGGGGATCCGCCTCTCTAATAATAATATATTGCCTTATGCTACCTAAATTTCATCTGTTCTCATAGATTAACTCTCGTAGTCGGAATTAAACTCCATCATTTGGTGTTCTCGTTGAGAGTCGATTTACGTTGATGATGGTTGGATCAAACAATCACAACTATGCTGGCAGCAACCAACGTGATGCTCGGATGAACCAAGTTGTGATTGAGGATAAATGATCTCGTTCACGGCGAAACAATTTCCGGAGGAGGAATGACAACGTGATGACTCCATGCGACTTGAGGAACCACTTACATGGCGTTGGAAGTTCTAGGCACCCTACGATGCGCCCATCGCAGTTCCGTACTCCGGCGATCGGGAATCCCGTTCCAGGCATGGATCCCGCACTAGCCCTGGCTAGCCTGGCAACTTTTTAGAGGGTTGTGGAAACCTTAACCACCGCCTTCAAAGGGATTGTTCCCAACACGAATGAAAGACCTCCTTCCCCTCACTGTGTTCCATCTATGCCCCAACGAGTGGAGACCGTAGTTGCGCAACGTCAGAGGAACTCACCACCGGTGATGTCTCATCGTTCCAGGCAGACCCCAAGGGCTTCTGTGATGGATCGTATTGGAGGACAGATGGTCTCTATGCATGATAGGCTCTCCTCTAGGGGTAGAGGAGTGATGAAGTATCCCCCACAGCCGTTTCATGCCACCATCGCAGTGCATGTGGGGGGAGATCTCATAAACAAGATCCTTGAACATCGGCGGGCCCGCAAAAAGCGTGCCTCCCCACCTCGCATCCTGGATGTCCAGGATAATGACGATCTCAGAAGGCATCTTGATGAACTTAGAAGGGCAGTGGATGGCAAGGTTAATCTCAATCATGATGTGAGGATTCTCGAGCCGTTTATCCGTTACCACATAGGGATACAAACCTTGCAACATTGAGGCCTACCGAGGAAAGACTCAGCGCCGGTCCTGACTAATTATGGGCCCGGGGCAAAAGACAAAAAATAGGCCCTATAGATGTTAGTGCCGGTGAACGCTTGCAATATATGATCCTCTACAAAAAGCTCGTGATTAAAAAGCGAAAATGCAAAATAGCAATCGGCCAATTGTATGGAAAGATTAAAAGATATAAATAAATTTCAACTTTATATCCTTAATTAAAAACCATTTTCTAAGTAATATACTAGATACAAGTAAACCCAGAGAGAAAAGGATGCTAAAATATGAAAAAGACAGAAGCTATCCGCCATTGGCTTAGTACTACAAGTAAACCCATAAAGTAATATACTAAATAATTAAAATTATAAATTAATGTAGTCAATTTACATAATTAGTAAATGCCTGTGAGCACCGTGCGGCAGTGCTCGTCCTCATGTGATGGTTGAATCCTTTGAGAGGTCTAGAGAGGATTAGAGGAAAAGGCAAAAATTAAGAATTTGAGAATTGAGTATTTAAGATTTGAGAGCAAAGAATAACAAAGGCTGACGGTTGAATCAATTAAGCAAAGCGTGTAGTTGATTATAAGAGACCGAAGAGATTCATATGATTTGTATCAGGGAGGCGGAAAGATTGAGTATCCAACGTTTGGGAACTAAATCCAGAATTGGTTAGGATTGGTATTAATGTTTAGTTTTCGATTTTTGTGAGAGAGTTCAAAAGTCTTCCTCTCGCATGTGGGCCTTGGCTCAATCTAGAACTACGAAATAGAGATTGATATCTTACCGTATACGACTATACGGACTACTATTAATTAATTTAGATATTTAGTATTATTAATTTATATATATAATAACTACTATAAAATCTATGGGCCCCTTTTTCCTGGTGGGCCCTGGGCAGCAGCCCAGGCTGCCCCTATACCAGGACCGGCCCTGGAAAGACTAGTCTCCAACACCATGTTTTTAGATACATGGCCTACATGGTGATGATGAGGGTATAATGATGCAATTAGACGCTGAGGATTCTCTGTAGCCCTTGATGGGCCAGTCCGGGAATGGTATGACTTTTTACCTGACGCAAGGATGCAAAACTTCTGGGAGCTAGCTCAGGCGTTCATCGCACGATTCACCAGTTCAAATGATTATAAGAAGAACTTCTCTCACTTCCTAGGGGTCAAACAAGGACGCCAAGAGACCTTAACCGCCTTCCTGACTCGTTGGAGGGATAAATCAATCAAGGGTGATGGTTTAGATGACAAATCCGCCGTGGCAATTTTCACCAACGCTTTGAGGTCAAGAGAGCTGCATTAGGAAGCCCTACGATGAGCCGACCGGCAAGCCGAGGTGGAAGAAGCGGAAAAGCGGAAAAGAAAAGAGAAGGATGGAAAGCACGAAACAGATGACTGGAAGAAGAATAGTTCCGAGAAGGAGATCCATGACAAAGACAAATGGCGTGGATCTAGAAGGAAGAAGAAGGGCTGGGGTAAAAGCAAGTTGGGGGCACCCGATGGACCTTTATCCAGTCAGTCAGAATTTTACCGGGTAACACATCCAGTAAGCACAATCTTGGATTACGCGGTGAAGCAAGGCTTGATAACGTTGCCTGACAATTGCAACATTGTAGTTGGCCAAATGTTCCAGCCCGGCTGGTTGTGAGGTTATCGTGCCTAGTGGGAGGTCTCGCGTTCAAAACCCGCTAGACACATAAGGGTTCGAAACTCAATGGAGTGAGTTTCAGCCCTAATTACTTCAGGCTCCTCAGCCTCCCTCCCTCAGCCCCCTGGAGTAAAAAAAGGTGGCCAAACAACATGAGGAAAGTATTGCAAACTTCACAAGAGCGATACCCATGAGACGGACGATTGTTACGTCCTGAAAAAGTATGTGGAAAGGCTCATTCGGGAAGGACAGTTGGATCAATTTGTGAAGAGCCGACAGGGGCAACCCCCTCAAAAGAAGAATATCTCGATCAAGGGCAAAGATGAGCTGGCTTCAACCTCTAAGAAGAGGGAGGTCGGAACTCAATTCGAGGACGATGAGGAAGGGGAGGATTCCGGTCGGCAGAAGCGCCTACATGTCAACTAGATCTATGGTGAACCGGTGGGAGGAGACACCGCCGGGGAGAGAAAGAAGTGGAATCGTCAGTTGTTCATCGGAGAGATCAACCGTTTCCGGCAGACGAAAAGCAAAAGCGGGTTTCCATTATTTTTACTAACGACGACCAACCACCTTGCCCTCCCCCGCATAGAGACGCTTTGGTGGTAAAGATGGAAGTCATGGATACGGTAGTCCATAGAGTCCTTATATACAATGGTAGTTCGGTGAACGTGATATATTTGGATACATATCTGGGGATCGGCTTCCTAAAGGAAGCCTTAAAGCCAGTGAAGACTCCCCACTCAGGCTTCACTGGGGATGTAATCGAGCCGGAGGGAGTGATTACCCTCGCAGTTCAGCTCGGATCAGAACCATGTGTGCAGACCGTTGAGGCAGACTTCGTAGTGGTACGTTTGCCAAGCGTTCATAAGGCCATACTGGGCCAACCTTTATTAGAAGATCTGGGAGCCATCATCTCCCAGGCTCATCTCTGTATGAAATTCTACACGCCGACAGGAATTGGCATGGTAAGAGGAGACCAAACGATGGTGCAGAGCTGCTATATAAGGGCCTGCAAAGCCCATGGAAGGAACGTTGTCAGAATTAATGCTATAGAACAGGACCTGTCAAAATATGAGGAATGGCAGTTTAGAGCTCAGCCCGTCTCAGAGCTCGAGGAGGTCGGCGTCGATCCATCCAGGCCAGAACACCGGATTAAGATCAAAGCAGGACTACCGACCGACCTGATCAGGTTGGGGACCCGATGATATGCCTG